TGTTATATATGTACCTCGGATATCAGACTCTACGGTTTTGTACTTTTGGAATAGTAAACTGGGGTTAATGTTTCAGTTTTGATTATATGAATATCTTTATTCTGAGCCTCGATACAACAAACGTTTTCACTTAAGTCCGAGACAAGAGAGAGTCTCAACGGCCATGACAAGAGAGAATATATAGAGCTGACACGTTGAGTCGCGCCACCTTTGGGTGCGTCCGCATGTAATGTTAAATGCTTAAAGTGCTTAAACTATTCTTATGAAATATATAACATTTTCCTTCCTTCTCAAAGCTTATAACTATAGTCTTACAAATTTAATCTAGACGGTGGTTTTACAATTCTGCCCGAACGGGTTGTCGCTACGTTATCAGCGCTGTCCTTCTTAGGCGTGACCACTGACTTCTTCTTACATGGTTGAACGGGTGATTCTATTTTCGAGTTCCCCTCATCCACCACGCTATCTGTCTCAGTAATTGCAGTACGATTTGATTCGTTATTAACAATAGTTTCAACTACTGGTCTAATTGACTCTTCAGCGTTACCTACTGGAGTAGTAGCTAGATGTGGAGAACTCATACTCGCATTATTTGTATCATATAATTTGTTCGGATAACTTGTAGCCGTACTTAGTGTAGCATTATTTGGACGTATATCGTTAGCATGTACAAATTTGATTCCCTCCTCTACTTGGACCAAATAAGTACAATAACTAAGAACTTGTATAACTGTGCCTCGTTGCCACAGTTTTGACCGGATATTCTTAACAAATACCGTTTGATTTAAGGTATATAATTGTGTTTTATTTTTATTTAACTGACTCTGATTTTTGGACTGTTGTCTGTAGCAGGATGGTTTAATCAGATCGAATCTCGTTCTCGGTCGCATTTTAAAGAAACCCTGAGCAGGCGATATCCCTGTTGTACTAGATGGTGTGACTCTATATGTAAATAGAAAACTCAATAATTTAGACAGTAATTCTTCTTTACTCAACATCTTCCCCCGCTCAAGTGATATAGTTTTTTCCAAACCTTTTTTTACTGTTTGAACCCCGCGTTCCGCAATACCATTACTTTGCGGGTGGTATGGAGGTAATTTGATCGGTGTGATACCATTGGCCTGACAAAATGAAATAAATTCCATAGAGTTAAAAGGTGGGCCATTGTCTGAAACCTATTCCACTGGCAATCCAAGAATAGAAAAAATTTTTTTTAATTTCAATATTGTCTCTTTTGCATTTGTACGTTCAGACATTATTTTAACTTCTAACCATTTAGACCGACTATCAACCAAAATCAAAAACGTATAACCATACTTGTGAAAAAAATCAATATGAACTCTGTGAAAATTAGTAGGTGCTGTAGGCCAAGGAACAAGAGTACTAGAGTTAGAAAAATTTTGTCTTTGCTGGCAGATCTCACATGCAGTGATAAACTTCTCAATTGCCTCATCTATTCCTGGCCACCAGCAATACGTCCGCATGAGCATTTTAGTTCGCACTATTCCCACATGTTGTTCATGAAATAAACTCAAGACTTTACTTCTTAACATTGTTGGAATTACCACTTTTGTACCTATTAATAAACAATTACCCTCTACAGAAAGTTCATGACGTTTTTGGAAATATGGTTTTAATTCTTGCTCAATAGCACCGTTTGGCCATCCTATCAATGTTAATTCAATTACTTTTGCCAATATTGTATCTTTCGTAGTTGCTTTTGCAATTTTGTCTGCTTTCAGGGATAACTCGTTAGTTAAATTAAATGAGTATAAAAATCCTGCTATTTCCGTTTCCGTCGACAGTGGTAGTCTAGATAGGCCATCTGCATTTGCTACCATTTTACTTGGTTTATATTCAATCTCATACTCGTACGCTGATAGTGCTAAAGCCCAACGAGTAATACGCGCAGCTGCTGTCACTGGAATACCTTTATTTCTACCAAAAATAAATTGTAACGGACGATGATCTGTTTGTAATATAAATTTCCGTCCGTAAATATATTTATGAAATTTTTTTAATGCTACAATGAGTGCTAATGCCTCTCTTTCTAAATTTGAATATCTCTGCTCTGTTGTGGATAATGTACTTGATGTAAATAATACAGGACGAAGGTCATTACCAACTTCGTGACTCAAGACCGCCCCCACCCCATAACTGCTAGCGTCGCATGTTATATATACAGGTAAATTAGGATTGAAATGTACAAGAACTGAGTCAGACGTAAGTAACTTTTTACTGAATTGGAAGATTTGTTCGTGTTTATCCGACCATTGAAATTCTACTCCCGATTTACAAAGATCGTATAATAATCTAAGTTTGGCTGAAAGCATAGGAATGAACTTTCCGTAATAGTTCAATAACCCTAGATATGATTTTAATTGAGTAATGTTTTGGGGTGACGGAGCCTTGTGAATACTTTTCACTTTATCATCTAATGGATGAACTCCTTTTGAGTCAATCCGATGTCCTAAAAATTCAACGTTTTCTTTATAAAATTTACATTTAGCCTTATTAACTTTAACATTGTACTGTTGTAAACGTTCTAATACAGCCAAAACATTTTTATGGCAATCCAGTAAAGATGACCCATAGATTAGAATGTCATCCAAATAACATTTGACTTTCGGAATGCCAGCGAGAATTGTTTCCATACAAGTTTGGAAAATGCCAGGCGCTGAGCTTACACCATACGTAAGACGGTTATACCGGAATAGACCCATGTGTGTATTAATTGTAAACAATTCTCGTGACTGTTCTCCTATCTGCATTTGTTGATATGCCCCTTGTAAATCTATTACGCAAAAAATTTTATTTCCTCCTATACAAGCAAAAATATCTTCAGGCAACGGTAACACACAATGATCACTGTCAATTACTCTGTTCAATGTTTTCTTAAAATCTACACAGATCCGAATGCCCGCATTATTTTTTTTTGGAACTACTACTATGGGGCTTGCCCACTTACTATGCGCAACTTTTGTTACGATTCCCGATTGCACCATCTTTGCTACTTCATCTTCTACTTTTAATTTTAACGCATATGGCATACTATATGCTCTATGAAATATAGGTTTAGCATCGTCTTTAAGTTTAATTTCCGCCTTAAAATGTTTAATGACCGCCTCTGGTTCTTCTTCGAAAACCTTCCGAAATCTATTTTTAAGTTCAATCATCATTATTTTTACAGTTTCTGATTCATGTGTAAAGACTTTATTTAAGTTAGTATGTTCAACTAACATGTCAGTATCTAAAATCTGTCTCCATTGTGGGTTGAGAATATCCAGCCAGTTTCTACCAAGTAATGGTGTAAATTTAGTTTTACTATCTATAACAACTAGCGGTAAGGTAAATATTTTCTTTTGATACTCTACAGAAACAGTTATTTGACCTATGACATTAACTTTTTCACCTGTGACTACTCTCAACTTAAAAGTAACTGATTCTACTCTTATACTAGGAAATAATTTTTTATAATCATTTATATGCATTACAGACTTACATGCACCCGAATCGACTTCCATTACAATAGTTTTACCTTCCACTGGTATTTGAGTATATAATGTTTCATTTCTTTTGGACTGTCTTAAAGTGTTTAAAAAGTATGTATCCTCAGATTCCTTTAACCATCCTACCGTCGAGGAATCATTTCCAGCCGCGTTTGGTTCCTCTTGACTGGTTTCCTCCGATGTTACTTCATTGATTCTATTCTTGCACCATTTTGATTTTGCTGTATGTCCAGTTTGATTACATGAGTAACATTTCCAGTTGATAGCTGGACACTTATTGTTATCCCAGTGAATTTTGAGACACCTTCCACATCTTGATTTGCCTGTACTGTTCGTAGGTTGACCGGCTTTACTGGTTTGACTGACATCTTGACTGGACGTAGCTTTATTTTGCCACGCTGGTCGACTGAACTTCCTGCCTTTGTTAAATTTGGCGGTGCTTACTTTATTGACAGCTGCCGCCTCGGTACCCATGGCTTTAATTTGTCCTTCTGCCATCTCTACACTTGTGGCAATTTGGAACGCTCGTTCAAAAGTTAGGTTATCTTCTGTCAATAGTTTTCGCTGCACAATCTCGGAACGAATACCGCATACTAATTTGTCTCGTAAAGCTTCGTTTAGAAATGTACCAAAAGCGCAGTGTTTGGCTAGATTCTTTAAACGAGCTACATAAACTTTAACATCCTCGTTAGTTTCTTGCATAGCTGAGTAAAATTTATAACGTTCTGCAATAACTAACCTTTTAGGACTATAATGGCTCTCTAGTTCTGAGCTAAGACGTTCGAACGTTAATGTACTCGGTAAAGTTGGCGCCAATAAATCTTTTAATACTCCATACGCCTCTCCTCCTATTAATGTTAGTAATAGAGACACCTTTTTATTGCTTGTTACTTCATTGCAAGCGAATAACATTTCAATTCGTTCCATATACGAGGTGATATCTGTCTCCCTTGGATTGAAGGCTTCTATGGATCCAATGAGCGCCATTTCGAGAATGCTAATTTCTACGTATTTCTCGATGTAGGTTCACAGACTCGTCGCCAATTTATGTTATATATGTACCTCGGATATCAGACTCTACGGTTTTGTACTTTT